ATCTGACTGTCTGTCTAATCAATAAATCTATCTATATCTATCTATCTATCCATCTATCTATCTATCTATCTGGCTGTCTGTCTGTCTATCTATCTACCTGTCCGTCAATTCATCTGTCTAATCAATCAATCAATCAATCAATCTATCTATCTATCTATCTATCTATCTATCTATCTATCTATCTATCTATCTATCTATCTACCTGTTCGTCAATGCATCTGTCTGTCTAATCAATCTATCTATCTATCTGGCTGTCTGTCTAATCAATCAATCAATCAATCATTCAATATATCTATCTTTCAGATATCTATCTATCTGTCTGTCTAATCAATCAATCAATCAATCAATCTATCCATCTGGCTGTCTGTCTGTCTATCTATCTACCTGTCTGTCAATTCATCTGTCTGTCTAATCAATCAATCAATATATCTATCTATCTATCTATCTATCTATCTATCTATCTATCTATCTATCTATCTATCTATCTATCTATCTGTCTGCCTGTCTGTCTAATCTGTCTGTCTAATCTGTCTCCATGTCTGTCTGTGTATGATTATTCATACATATGCATGGCACATTAAAAATGACCAACAGAAGAAAAATAACAGAACTAAATATGTATATTTATATTATGGCATGTCCTTTCTTAATCCAAAGATTAAAGTGCCTTCCTTGACGAAGAATATTCATTATTAATAATGTTTTATAAAATCTTTTTAGCAGCAACGCTATGGTTGCATAATATTTTAAATCACAGGGGACAGAATGCTAGAAAAATGATAACCGAGCCAGTTGTTATTAAAGTGGTAGGTTGGCTTTTATCCGTGTGAGGAATGTTCTGAAAGGAAACTGCCTGTTAAATCAAGAATTACTGAAATCCTTTTGTCAGCTCTGCAGCTGCTTTCTCAGATTAGTTTTAAGTATCAATCAGATACCTATTAAAATATTATTATAAACTTTTGATGGTACTGTTCTGATTATTTTAAAATGTTTAACCCTAATGTAGTCAAAAGTGATTATATTCTGGAAACTCTTTGTAGCTGAATACACTGTACTATCATTCCTATGCATTTCTAGCAGAAATGACCCCAAAACACGATTCACTGTTGTGTTCAACATTTCACAGTGTATGAATGTCCTTTACAGGTGATTTCAATTAGCACTCTAGAAACAACTAATGAGAGACACAATCTATGCATGCTTATATCTCGTTGGCTACACAATGTTCTACTTTGGATTACCCACTTGTAGATACAAACTGTAATTGTAGAATAATTATGGAAGTATGATTTATTGTAATTACTGCTTTCAAGGTGGACTTACCCAAGGTCCAGGTTGACATATGTAGGAGATGTACGGCAATAACGTTTGAATTTGCATCAAATTGTGGGGAATTTCATTGTGTTATGTCTCACCACAACTTATCTAACACCTAGATATATGCTCAAAGAAAAAAATTCAACTTCCCAAATTGGTGCCTTGCTGACAAGACCCAAATATAGGTTTTGCTTTCTACATAGCGGTTGGTGAAGCACTTTCATGGTCCCACATTAGAAACTATCATTTGACCAATTTCTATTTATTACATAGTTACATAGTCTAGGATGAAAAAGGACTCATGGACATTGAGTTCCACCTTTAAAACACATTTGTTGTTAATCTAAAAGAATGCAAAACATAAAAAAAAAAAAAAATCTGAAGTGATAGACAAAAGAAGGAATAAGAAATTCCTTTGTGACTTTTACTGCAATCAGATTTCTCCTTGGACCAGTAAACTGTTCATATGCATGCTAATTATATCCTTAAATATTAGTTTTTTTTTCCAAAAAAACAAAAACAAAACATTCAAGCCTTTATAAAAAATATCTACATAATTTGACAAGGCAGCCTATTTGGGTAGAGTGCTCCACATCATTATGGTTCTTACTGTAAAGAACCCTTTCTTCTGCTGTAAGTAAAAATGCTCAATGTACATTCCTGCTAATGAACAAGTTAGCACATAGAGATTTGTTGCAGTGATGTTTTCCATCCCCCTTATTAATTTAGTAGCTCACCTCTGCACTTTTTTTTCTAGTTCTGCAATATGTCTGTGTAAAACTGATGCCCAAAATTGCACTGCATATTCAAGGTTGGGTCTTACCATTGGTTTATAAAGATCCAAAATTACATTTTGATAATGTTACCCTTCTTTATTTAGGACAGCACCTTACTAACATTTACAACATCAGACTGGACTTGCATCCTTCTTTCTAGTTTGTTATCTCCAACTATTCCCAAGTCCTTTTTGACAGTTGGTCAAGATGAAACTAATTTATACCCATCCTCATCTGCTATAGTAATTCATGTTATGTCTTTCAGATACTACAGATCAAAATATACAACTAAATACATAACAGCTAATAGTAATTTAATAACAAATAATATTAAAATTTGTCCTGAATATGATGAGTTAGTCACAATTTTGGAATTGTGGCTTGTCAACCTAGTTGTGTTCTTTGATATCCTGTTCTCATGGACACCTACAATTTTTATCTATACCCAACATGCAAGGCTGACGCTAAAGGAGCTCATGGGCCAAAGGAAACACCACACTGATACATGGGCTACAGGAGAGAAATCAAAGGCCTCCCAAACTGAGCCAATACAAACTTATACCAGGGCGAAGCAATCGATGTATTATCGTGTTAAGTATACAATTTGTAACAGATCTTGTGCATTTGAGGTTGTGGTAAATGTTTGTAGTGTATGTACACACTATACAACAACTATTCGTTTGCACATATGCAAGACTTGACACACACACCACAAGCAGCCTGCTTTTTGTCCTTAGAGTCCCACTTATTGGGACACCAAAGACAAGGCATTACATGCCATTAAATGCTCTTGCACTTCACTAACCAAACAGACAGATTTTCCCCCAGGTGAGAGCACATTATCAGGTTGCTGCTCTGGAGTGGCAATGAACAGTCACTTTGAGGGACAAGCTTTTTATTGGTGATAACACAGTATGCCTTTCTTTCTGGCTCCCCCACCATCTATTGTCCTTCTCTGCCTATAAAAACACACGGTGATATTTCTTCCAGTCTTGGCCTGATGCCCATGCTTGATATCAAAACATATGTACCTATATTAAAAGTGTCAGACAGGGAAGCTTTGTTTTGTAATCACATAAATAAAAAGTATGAGAATAGTTTATTCAAGGAAAGAATATGAAACCTCAGTGGAATACTTAATGTTTGTGATTAGCGTTTTGTGTTTTTTTTCTGCAGAGAACTCAAATATAGATCAAACGTCAAGCATTTATACACCTCTATACATTACTCACATCTCAGTCTCTATGAAACAGGAGTTCATATATGTAGACGTGTGCAAGGCAACAAATGTTGGTTCTTCTGAGCCACTTCAATGAAAACGTGTTTTTTTTTTCGTTTGGCAAAATTTTGCTCATGCCACTGTTCAGCTCAGCTGCATATTTGTATTGAAAACATTTCAGCGAAGTAATTCAGGTAACCAAAACAGCAGGAAAAATGGTGCCTATGACTGTGCTGACATGCAAAAAGTCTAACTTTTTGCCTGTTCTAATGGCCGTTCAGGCATTTTTGTAATGTCAATTCTGAGTTGCCAAAATGTTTATTGTATGTCAGGTTTGTCAGGTTTGTCAGGTATAGAAAAAAAGGAAGTGAGAGAATTTAGGCCTTTCAAAGGATTTATTTACGAAAATGATCATAAACTTTAGGTGAACATGCTGTTTGAAGAGTTTATATAAAGATATTGAATCCTTTGAAAAGCTTATCTAAAATATTAAAACAAGGACTTATTTCTATATGATTGATTGCAATGTTTTTCATTTTGCTATCTTTTTTTTTTTAACATTGAAACCACTACAACAAAAGGCATTTAAAAAGGGAAAGCAGCAGTACCAAAAGCAGCAGCAAGAGGAACATTTTAATTTTAGTTTTTATTCACCACCAGATTTTAGAACACTTTCACAAAATTTAGAAACAAATTTGCTAGCTGAGAGTCAATTGGCCACTCACCTCTCCATGCAAATGATGATTCCTCAAGTTTCCAAGTTGTGAAGAGCAGTGCAATCCAAGTTGGGGAGATTGAACTTGAGTAAGACTGTTTTCTCCATCAGTTGTAGGGACATTTGTAAGGGTTGAAGATCCAGAATGTTCCCTGTAATAGGAAAACATTGCTTACTTTGAACAGTGTTCAATGGATATAACAAGCAGGTCACACGCTCTTCTTCTCATCCCAGTAGCTCAGTGAGTCATCAGAACAAGACAATGCTTTAAAAGGAACTACTCTACTTTCGACTGCTTGAGATTCAACTTTTCACCCCAAATTGTCAATATCATTAACACAAAGCTTAGCTGCCCCACTCTCCTGTATTGGGGATATGCTGCTAGTATTGTTGTTGGGAGTAGTAGACAATGGAAACACGGTAGGTTCAATGTGCACATGTTCGTTAACCAACATTCCTCCCTTTTGCTGAAAATGATGGACCATGTAAATAAGTCTGTGACTCCAATATGTTAGACTATTCTATCGAAGTTCCACATTCCACTTAATCCTAGGATCATACGAAAAAGCTAACACTAGGCAACTGGCAATTCGTTCAATCAGACGAGAGATCTTTCAGTTTCCTGACCACTGCTGCTACACCGGTTGCACTGCTGCAACACCAAGGAAAAATTCCCTGTTTTTCGAGACGTCATCCATCATGTTAATGAGTTGATTGAACAAACAGATAACTTATCCCAAACCAGGATTACTGTGCCGCAATTTTTTTGTCATGTCCCTAAAAGGAGCACGAACTGACACTAGCTGCCCTATTAGTTTCCAATCCTCATATCCCCCAGTAGGGAATAAACATCAATGGGATGGTGGGTAGATTGACCATTGCTGTACCAAAATTATTTCTTTTGAGACAGGATGACAGAAGGTAGAGTGGACATGTGGGACACATGGGAGAAGGATGAAGGTGGTGCTTGCAGTAAGTACAAAAGAGTGCATGGGGACACTACCTTGTTACAACTACCTAGTTGCATCTTGGGGGGCTGCAACAAATAGACAGCAATACAGGCAATTGCAACAAGTCCATTGGTTTCACCAATTTCTTGCGCTGAGCACCATAAAACACAGATGATGTAACACTTGCACTTGCTTTGGTAGAAGTAGTAACACAAGCTATTGTAGCATTAAAAGCCTGAGAAAGAAACACTTGTCTCCTAGGTGGTAAATTGGACATAATGGAAATGCTGGTAATCCCACTATCCTGGGGCTGATTACTACTAATATTAGTGGTGGTGGCAGTGGTGCATGGCACTACTTCTGATGGTGGATTGGGAACACAACCCCTTCAATTACCCTTTCTCAATTTCTTACTCGTACTGAACATCACAATCCCCATAATAGGGAATTGCTTTTTCCAACCAGTTAACAACTAAAAAAACAACAAAACAATCAAACAAACTTTTAACAGCAGCATATTGGTGACATATTCTCACAATAAGATCAATGACACAATGTAATCTCCTTTCTCCCGCTCAAAGTTGTTTCAAGTACCCCTGACAGTAACTATCTAGCTAGATACAGCAGTAAGTTAAAACTAGTCTCACACTAGAATCAAAGACCCAAGCTACCCCCCACTCACACACAGACACGGCAAGAGCAAAGCACACAGTACTAATGCTAGTCTATCTTCCTCAATAGCTGCAGTCAAAGTGTCTGGAAGTATCCTGCTTAGAAGTATAATATTTTTTACTGCTTCTTCTTTTTCCCTCTATTGGTCAGTTGTCACTTGATTTGTGAATAAAATGAACATTTACTGGCTGCCACTAACCAAGAGATGCAGCCTACATAATTGGGCAGTCCTCTTTTCCATTTTGACAAACTAAACTAAACTAAAATAGAAAAACAATATGGACCCTTTTTTTTCTGGTGCCAGGAATGGCACTGTGAATCAAGACCCAAAATGAGTATATCTGGGTTTGCATGAGTCAGTTCCCCAGAGATTCTGGCATGTGGTGGCTTGGAATTCAGATTTCCAAGTATAGTTATATGCTGTGTATATGTTCAGTGAGCTACTTGCAACACACAGCAGCATGTGATGTCATGTTTCCTTTTATGTGGTACAACTATAAACAGGAATCACATTATGAACTAGAGTGACGTCATCTGCATGGTGATGAAAACAAACATACATTTGAAAAAATCCTACAGAAGATTTTCTGTGAAACACATCATCCTTTATATATCAAGATTTGTTTTGTATAAAAATCGTGTTACATTAGTACATGCCCCTTCATTATGTGATGGTCACAGTTCTCACCATGACATTCAGACGGCCAGACGTGATCACCCCAGAAGTGTCCTGGGCCTGCTAATATGCCTCTAAGCTACAGCAGGTTCTGTTCTTTTGTATAAGTTCTATCCTTGCTATTTCTGGCTATTAGTGTCTGTAACACTAGGGGGCTGGACTTCCTCTGTGGCTGATACCTGTGCTTCACCTGAGGCGGATCGCTAATCATCTGGGTATTTAAACACTGCCTTGTCCTGGGAACTTTATAAGTTCTTTGATTCTGGTGATCGTGTGTTCCTGTTTTGTCTCCTGATACTTGTTCTCCAGATTGACCTTGGCTTTCCTTGTTTATCCTGACCTCTGACTTTGGCTTATCCTCGACGATCCTTCTGCTTGTGTCCTTGTCTGTACTATGAATTGGAGCACCTTTCATGCACAGCCCCTGTGCACAGATTCACAGTCCTGGTGGTTTCTAACCTTATCATCTTGGACTGTGTATATCTGCAAGGGTGAGCACAAATCTTTGCCACCTGATGTAAGACCATGACAGTGATATATTAACGTCACCAAATATTTTTCTAAGCTAGAAAACAGTGGGAGAGGTAGTGGAATTGCAGTTCATCCAAAAATGAATCTCTGTTTTTTATTTTTTTGTAAATTGTATATAGACAAAAAATATTTTGTACAGTTATATTTTCCTTCTTTCTACAGCACTTAAAGTACCGTATATACGCGAGTATAAGCCGACCCGAATATAAGCCGAGGCCCCTAATTTTACCACAAAATACTGAGAAAACGTATTGACTCGAGTATAAGCCTAGGGTGGGAAATGCAGCAGCTACTGGTAAATTTCTAAATTAAATTAGATCCCAATAAAATTACATTAATTGGATATTTATTTACAGTGTGTGTATAGAATGAATGCAGAGTGTGTGTTTGTGTGTGTATATAATGAATGCAGAGTGTGTGTTTGTGTGTGTATATATAATGAATGCAGTGTGTGTGTGTTTGTGTGTTGTGTGTGTGTATATAATGCAGTGTGTCTATAATGCAGTGTGTGTGTTTGTGCAGTGTGTGTAAACTGGATGAGGGGAGGGCATTTTTATTTAAATTTTTTAATTTTATTATATTATTTTAATATTAATATAGTATTATTTTAATAATATTATTATTATTTTAATATTTAAAATAAGTCCTCAGTGGGAGAGTAATAATTGAGGGGAAGGGGGTCCCTACCTTTAATAATCCTAAAGGAAAACACAATTAAAAAAGGACAGATGGGAGAAAGGAGTTTAAATGGTAAACCATCTAGAGACAGTTACAGAAAACAGGTGTCTACTGTAGGAAAGAAAGACTACCTGGCAAATTCTAAACCAAAAGGTTGAGCATCATGCGTCCTAAGTCTCATAGGTAACCAATCCAGGTATAAAGTAATAGCTAGAACACTGTGCCTATATATAGAGGTGGAAAAAACCCTCTATAGGAGAAGTAAAAAACTACCCCAAATTTCCCAAAAACAGACTCCTATCTGTAGAGAGCTTGCTCTAGTTACCTCGGCACTGTGTTGCCACAAGTGCCTACCCGGATACCTAATCCCTATAAGTCCTAAAAGTTACAAAGATTTAAACAGCTAAATCCATAAGTGCTACCAAAAAGAGGTGAACAAAAAGAAAATTAAATTAAATAAAGTAAGCTCGACGCGCGTTTCGGCGTTTCAGCACGCCGTCGTCAGGAGCAATAAACTTTTGGAGTTCCCTGTATCCATTTAAATACCTTTTGTTGCAATCAATTAAAATTGTAAGATGCTGTATGTGGTATCCTGCCGTAATTGTCAGTTCCTCATTGGTCCGATATTTAGCCAATGCCGTCCCTTATCGGCCGCATCACGTGACGTCGTGACGTAAATGAAGGGGCGTGATTCCGAGATCGGGTGGGGCCCATGTGGGTGCAGTATGGGAATGGTTAGACTGCAGAGTTCCTCATACTCGAGAGGAGAACCCTCTATTTGAAACCCGACGAAATAAAGCACTCGTTTTAAGAGGTGTGACCAGAGCACAAAATGAGTGTCATAGGAGTGCTGTAGTTTACACTGATATGAGGAAACAATAAACAGTTGCCTGGGTCCCTGGACCATTAGTGTACAGAAGTCAAACAGCCAAAACGCTAAATAACTACTGTACACTTCACTTAAAGTTTTAAGGGATGAAATTTATAAATCAACAATTTATTATTATCTCGCGAGACTTACACTGTGAGCGGAACGGAGCTGACCGAGGAGCTGCACGGAGGAGGAGGGAGCTGACAGGAGCTGCAGGAAGGTAAGTAACCGCTCATTGTCAGCCCCCAACAGGACCGCCGGGCTTGTAATGAGCCCGGCGGTCCTGGTCTGTATTGTGGCAATGTAAATTGCCACAATACAGACATTGACTCGAGTATAAGCTGAGTTGGGGTTTTTCAGCACAAAAAATGTGCCGAAAAACTTGGCTTATACTCGAGTATATACGGTATATATGTTATGTTGCAGAAAAAAGGTTGAAGTAGACCAGCACAAAAAAGTAGTTAGCAATAATCTTATCACTGTTTTGTTGTATATGGTTGTGTTAGATGCTTTGAACAGCGATCAAAAGGTGGTACAAATCAAAGAAGTCAAAGTGTGTGGGATGAGAAAATTTCTGTCATGCGCATAAAACAAAAACAACAGTAACATATATTCTTTTTAGAAGAGGTTTGGATGAACCAAGTAATGCCTCCGTGTTTTGGACAATGTCCATCATGAAAATTGATTAACTAGATTAAAATGTAATTCAGGAAACCAGTACAACTTGAAGGTAGCCCATGGAGCAACGCAGTGTGGGGAGTGGGCCTTGACAGAGCCAGGGAGTGGGCATGGGCTTAGGATTGTGGGCCGGGTTTCGGGAGTGATGTTTTGGGGGGTGAAGAGTAGGGATATAAAGAGCAGCCATATTAGAATAGGGGCCATTTTAACTGGAGCCTCTCTTACCTGTAGATTGTTGCAGGCCTGAGAGGTTCCCCCCCCTTTTTTCTTTTGTTTCCCTGCAGGTCGATGGCGGCGTTGGAGGAGCTTCTGGAGGGAGTGCGGGCGGCCGTGAACGACCGTGGCCTCGAATGGCTACATCAGCAGCTGGGGGCCGCCGGGCCTTCCACAACGGTGGCAGCGCGCCGACCGGCCAGGAGGACGAGGCCGCCGCAGCGGCTGAGCCCGGGCGCTGGGCCCGCGGCGAGACGCCGTAGAAGCCCTTCAGCGGGAGGAGGAACGTCCGCAGGGGCAGGAGAGGTCCCGGTCGTGGAGCCAGGAAGGAGCACGGCTCGGGCTGGCAGGTGCGGCTGCGGTCTGGCGCGGACGGCTGTAAAGCACCCGACGGCTGGACGACGCACGCCGCGCGGGTTGGCGGCAGGCAGGGGAGATGGAGCGGTGGCTTCCAATTCGGCGGCCGGGTCGGCGGCCAGGACGGAGGACGGTCACGTGAGCGGGATTGCTGAGCTGGAACGTCCCGGTGAGTCAGCCACTATTGGCACCGCTGTGGGGCAGGAGAATGTTATGGTGGGGAGTGTTGGGACAAGTACAGCCCCCCATGGGTCTGGGGGAGGCTGGGACGGCGAGGTCAGCTCGGGGACGGCCCAGGCAGGGGCCAGGAGGGAGGATATCGGTGGTGGCTTTAGGGCGCAGGAGACGGCTGGATCAGGGCGCACGGCGATCAGCCAGGGACGGTGTTCATTAACGGGAAGGACGGCTGGAGGGAAGCCAGGCGCAACAGCAGCGGGAGACAGACGTAGACCCACCCTGGAGGGAGGTGACAGGGGTGGTGGCAGCAGGCGGGAGGGTCCCTCTGGCTGCTCCCAGGGTCAGCATATGGACGGAGAGGACGCAAGGAGTGAGAGGAGAACGGAACGGCGCAGTGTGAGCGTCAGGCGCAGCAGCACGAGGAGCAGAGCAGGGAGCCAAGGAAGCGGGGAGAGGTCACCAGTGCGGAGCAGATGCAGCGCAGCTAGGTCCTGTTGCAGGGAAGGCTGCGGGAGGTCCCCGTCTAGGGATAGAAGGCAGAGGAGTCGACGTAGCACGTCTGATTCGCCAGACAGGAAAGTACAGGTTCAATCAAGGGGAGCGGATTACAGGGGGAGTCGTTTTGCAAGGCAGCTGGAACGTGGGAGGAAGGGCGGGTAGACCCTATGCTGAACAGACTACCCAGGTTTTCTTCTCCCTACAGGTCACGGAGCAATACCCCTACGGTCTCGAGGCGGGACCAGGCGGATGGGAGTCGGCGACAACAAAACACTCCGGCACCCGGAATGGTGGGCGGAAGGACGGCGCCCCTGCGGCCAGCTGCGGCCAGGGGCTTGAGCGGTGAGTCAACACATGCACGACACTCTGAACAGTTGCTGAGTGATTTGAAAATATTTTTAGACGCTTGGTCGGACAAGGGTGGGTCCCCCTCGGAATTCGGGCGGGTATGGTCGCAGGAAGGTAGTCGGGGCGAGGCGGTGGAGCGCGCGGGGGCGCTACCGGCGGGGACACATGGAGGCGAGGCCGACGACGCGACAGGGTCTGCGGGGTTGACCGATGGAGGGGGAGAGCACACGGAAGGGGGTAGCGATATCCCGGATGCGGCGCGGCAAAACGTGCACGTGTCCTTCGCGGGCCCCCTGGGGTGCCACTTAAAAACAGACGTAAAGGATAAGATTTGGAAAGGTGAGTTTGTGGAGATCTTTTCCCTTCTTCCCCTCGAGGAATTCTTGGACTTGAAAGAGGAGGATAAAAAGGACGCCAAGAAAGAGGAGGAGGAAAAAAGGCGGAGGTATCGTAAGATACCGAAAACTTTTGGGAATTGGCTACGGGCCTTCTGTATTCTGGCTAGCGTGATAGGGGAAAAGAACCCGGGGCATTGTTCGGAACTTTTTTGCTACTTGGATGGGATAGGCGATGCATATCGAACATACGGGGGATTGGCGTGGTGGAGGTATGACGAGCAAGTGGGGGAATTCCTGCAGGTTCAGACATGAATGTTCCGGCTGCGGGGGGGCTCATGGCACCAGCCGGTGCTTCAAGAAAGGTAAGCTTGGAGGGGGAGGGGGGTCCGGAGGGGCAGCGCCCCCCGCGGTTACCGCTGGGGGCGTCCCCAGTGAAAGTACGCCAAAGTACGCCAATAGGCAGTACGCCAATAGGGCTGATGCGGCCTTTTTGTGGCAGGGATTTCGAGAAGGGTTTGTTATTCCCTTCGTGGTTAGGGGACCGGGTACGATGTGTGGTAATCTCAAGTCAGTTCGGGAGCACCCAGGGGTAGAGCGGGAGAAGTTGAGCAAGGAAGTGCAGCTGGGGAGAATGGCGGGCCCATTCTTGGAGCCGCCGTTGGTCGATCTACGGATATCCCCACTCGGCGTGGTTCCCAAGAAGGAAGCGGGTAAGTTCAGGTTGATACATCATTTATCGTACCCAAAAGGGGCGTCGGTAAATGATGACATTGACGCGGCCCTCAGCTCCGTCTCTTATACGTCATTCGACAAGGCTGTCGAGTTGGTACGGAGAATGGGGCGAGGGGCGCTGATGGCGAAAGTGGATGTGGAGGCAGCCTTCCGGCTGCTCGCTATACACCCCAAATGCCATCATTTGCTTGGGTGCTATCTTGATGGGGGTTATTTCGTGGATCTGTGTTTACCAATGGGCTGTTCCATATCGTGCGCTTATTTTGAGAAATTTAGCATGTTTTTGGAATGGGTGGTGCGGAAGGAATCGGCGGGGGGTGCGGTGGTGCACTATCTTGACGACTTCCTCTGTGTCGGCCCGCAGGGAACGGGCCGGTGTAGACAGGTGTTGGAAGTGTTTCACTGGGTTGCACACTCTTTCGGGGTTCCCTTGGCGGGAGACAAGATGGTTGGGCCCACAACGTGCCTTAGTTTTTTGGGTTTGGAAATCGATTCCGTGAGAGGCGAATGTCGGTTACCTTCAGACAAACTAGTGGATCTGAAGGAGCGGGTGGCCACGGTAGGGAGGGCTAAGAAGGTGACACTGCGGGGGCTTCAATCATTGGTGGGGAGCCTGAACTTCGCGTGCCGGGTGATACCAATGGGGAGGGTTTTTTGTAGGCGACTGGCACGAGCGACAAGTGGGGTGCGTTGGCCATCGCACTGCGTCAGGGTCTCAGCGGATATGAAGGCGGACTTAAGGGTGTGGGACCGGTTCCTACAGGATTTTAATGGCAAGGTTTTCTTTAGGGATCCGGCGGCGGCATCAGAGGTGGGGCTGTACACTGACGCTTCGGGCAGTGTCGGTTTTGGGGCTTATCTTGCGGGTAATTGGTGTGCTGAGGAGTGGCCTGCAGCGTGGAAAGAAAGCCCGCTAATAAGGAATTTGGCGTTTTTGGAATTATTTCCGGTCGTGGTTGCGATGGGCTTATGGGGGCCGGCGTTGGCAAACAGGCACATCGTATTCCACTCGGATAACATGGCTGTGGTGCAGGCGATAAACAGTTTGTCTGCATCTTCCCCCCCGGTCTTATGTTTGTTGCGGCGGTTTGTACTTCTTTGCATGTCCTTCAATGTGGTGTTTAGGGTTAAGCACATCCCTGGTATGTTGAATGTGGTGGCTGATGCGCTTTCTCGTTTTCAGTGGGAACGATTCCGGGAAGCGGCGCCGGACGCACAGGAGACGGGGCAAGCTTGCCCGGACGAGATGTGGCGGCTCGGGACGTCATGCTTGGGGAGTACATAAGGAACTCATTAGCGCCAAGCACGTGGTCGTCTTACGTTAAGGTTTGGAAGGAATGGGAGGAGACTGTTCAACAGGTAGGAGGTGTTTTTTCGGCGGGGCAGCGGAGGAACGTACTGCTATGGCTGCTGTGTCGCCTGTTCTCAAGACAGGCTTCGCCGGCCATGGTGGACAGGTATATGTCTGCCCTGGCATTTTTATTTAAGTTCAATGGTTGGGAGGACATTACTAAGAATTTCATGATACGACAGGCGATACGAGGTTTTCGGAAGGGTAAGAAGTTTGGGGACACGAGAAGACCGGTGTCGTTCTTGGTGTTGCAAGGGTTGTTAGGAGCGTTGGCTGGGTTGCGTCATTCCCCTTTTGAGGTGGCGCTATTTTCGGGAGCGTTTGTATGGGCGTTCTTCGGAGCCTTCCAAATTGGCGAACTGGTGAGCCCCAACAGGAAAGGGGCCGGCGGATTGCTGCTCGACGACGTGGACTTATGCAACGACAGGGTGCGGATCAGGTTGCGCCGCTCTAAAACGGACGTGTTCGGTAAAGGGTGCTCAGTGGTGTTGTACGAGTTACCGGGCTCAAGGGCATGCCCGGTGGCTT